AAATAGGTTGAATACATCTCATTACAATGATTTACTGGTAGTCTCGAAACCCTACTCAATTACGAATATACCTTAATTTTGTCTTGAATTACTTTTATTCTTCTAAAAACCTGTCCGCTCATTCTACCTTATTCACATGTGCTTCCCTCTCACTGCACTTTGAAAATCTGCAAATGAGCAATATTTTATATCTGGCCTACTAGCTAATTGATACTAATTTTTTTTCACTTTTGCATGTATATTCTGTAGTATTATAATTCCCCATATTTATCATAGAGTGCTGAACATTCTTTGGCATGTGGCCGAAGACTTGCAACCCTTGGCACCCCATTCACCTGGCGGTGGTACGAACAGCGGCGTGGTTGTCACTTCATTATTCTCCGGATTTTCGGGTTTTGGTACCAGCCTAACTCCTGCCAACATGACAACCGCTGTCACAGCCTATGTCCCTTCCGCGTTATATTGTTCTACGGAAAGTTCTAAAATCCTGAAACCTTTAATTGACGTGAAAAACATTGACTTCTCTAGTCCAACAGCTGCAGCTTCATCCCTGCTATCGGCATTTGCCATTAATACCACCAAATCGACATCTCCGCCATTAGCGACGGGAGAGTCTTATCTTCATGCTGGTGGATCTTCAGAACAACCGAGGTACATGGCAGTTGACGGTGGTTTCATATTTAGAGGTGGTCATTCAGAATCGTCATTTGGTGGTTCCGGCAAAAATGATTCTAGTAAAATTCGATCATCAAGCATGTCTCGTTCAGGGCTTCCCGCTTCAGGTAATTTGATTTGAAAAATGGTTAAGTAATACTAGAGCCTCCTGTGACAACCTACAAGGATTTTAAATCGTTTTATTGCGAGCGCGATCAACATAAGGGCTTTATAGATATAGTTCTTTACAATCTATTTTATTTATCTGTTAAAGTTATTAGAAACCAATTATCCTTCCGAGTTTTCTTATCTTCTAAAATGTTAATTGAATTAAATCAGTTCTTTAAAATTCTACTTGCTTTGTTTCCTCTCGATGTTTGTTACTTGATGAATACTTGGTAGAAAAAACTTAATCGTTACATACGTTTGCATTATTGTAATCTCACTTATTTTTTAAAAGATTTTTTGTTCATCTTATTGTCAGTTTCGTTTTTTTTCACTTTACCAGACTCGCTGGATTTCAACCCAAATAATCCGGAAAATAGTCCACCTCGGGGTCGTAACAGTCTAGGATACTTCGGTCACCTGCCACACTATCTGGCCCTCTATGAGAATGTCCGAATGGCCTACCATGGATATAAAGTAAGTCGTTGTGCTCTTGGATATGTCTCCTAACTTTTATTACGCGGATCCTACCTTATATTACCATTTGGCATTTTAACAGCCTTTTAATTTTTATTTCAATTTTCAATTTTTTTCTTTTTTTTCATGCCAGATTTCTTACGCACTTTATACTCATTTATGCTACCTGGGTTCTCTTCTCTTTGAAAGTTATCTGTGCTCTAGATAGTTTCACGTATTCTGATCTTCTATGATTTCCATCATGGTCTCAATGCTTTTTACTTTCCAAATCCACCAAAGATTTACCCATAAATTCCATTCTTTCCTGCTTCAACTTGTACCTCTTTTATGAACAGATATATATACAAAAAAAATTGTTGAACTTAATTTGGGGGTATCTTTCATTTCGTCTGAAGAGGAAAGTGGAAAGCATTCATAAATTAGCCTCATTAGAGGCCGAAAGATAACTACTTTTACGTTTAGATTGCAGATTTGTTCAAATAAGTCTTCGACGCATTGTTCCGCGACTGATTAATCCATGCAGACCTTTTGCCTATCATGTGACAGACATATTCATGGCAGTAAACCATGCTTTCCGATAATTCACCGCAACGACATACTAGCCAGTCAGCTGTAATCCTGCCTACTTCTTATACATCTCAAGATTTGGTTGGCTATTCGACCTTTTACTTACTTGTAGAATAGTGAAATAACTGCGGCAGGCATGTGAGCTTGCTGAGGATGATGGATGCAATAGATGTCTTTGTGATTGAACATCTGCGTCCTTCCCTAAATTACTTGCATTTTTAATCCTGCAATGTTGATGCATTTATTGCTCATAAGTAATGTGAATTGTCAAGGCACTAATTATATACTAGGCAAATTAGGCCTCTACCTCTTGCTAGGGAATTCCTTTTGTTTCCTATCTCTCCTAATTTTATCCTATTTTTTCGTGCAACTACCCATTAAAAATGATGTAAGCGAAGCTACTCGCTTACTTTGTCAATGTGATTATTAATACCTTAATTATATATGTACTAATGAAAATATCTGGGTTTTGATCTAACGATCTGGTGTCATACAAGCCACCAGATATACTAGTCTTAAGTCAAAATTTTCGAAGAGGATAAGAAGATTATACAAGTAGATGATTTGGTTGACAACACCCTGGATAAAGGAAATAAATGTGGAAAATTAAGCGAGAATTATTTCTGGTTGTTAGATAGAATTAAGAAGAAAAAGAGGAAACAAAAAGAACTCCCCATCAAGAGGAGGAGACTTTATTAGTCTTGAATCTAGTTTGTAATGCTTCGGCTTCCGGCAAGGCCAATTCACAAGTACCTTTTACTTATCTTTTCAGACGAAATTTATGCTAGGCCAAAGTCAATCTATTAAATTATTCTGCGAATACTAGCTCTTATTCATATATTTAGAGTTTTTAAATTATCCTTCTATACAAATTACACAGATTTCGCCAGACCTTCTTGGTGGAAGTGATCGCGCTGTTGGTCTTCTCCGAGAAACTCTTTCTGCATTTGGGCGCTTACTTGAGGGACTTCGATTCGCTGAACTGGCTCCTTATACGCAAGAGCTGTTGGCCTACCTGACTACAGCGTTCCGTTGGCAACCGGCCGAAAGTCTAGATACAGCTGTTAAAGTAAAGCTATTTCTGTTCACTTGGGTGCCATATGCGTCGTTTTATCTCTATATTGTTACCTTGCTATCCCTCTCTATTGCACACAATGCTTCTTTATTCTTGCTATGGCTTTGCTCCGCCTGGGTATTCTTATTTTTAGTGTAAACAAGAATTTACTGATCATGAATTATTAGCGTTTATAGGGCACACGTACTGGATGTGATTGTCTGCATAGGATAAAACGAATCTACCTTTGCAATGGTTTCTTTTATTAAATTCGATCCAAGGTATGCAGACCAAGGAAATGTGGTCTTGACTGTGGTCTTGGTCTTCTACTATTGTATATAAATGGTTTAACCTCGTTTTAGTGTTTTAGTCATTTTATGATAGGTATTCACCCTATTTCATATTCACCTCTCATATTACTGATTAACTGTTGGTCTCAAAACTATACTCAAATACGAAAATAAGTAAAGTAGTCGATTGTTATAGCAAATATATGCTTGCTTCATCGATAATAAATTCACCAGGCCAAAGGTCTGATCTTCCTTGAAATTCACATCTGCCCTGTGACCCAAATGCACTCGTGGCAATGTGGTCGAGTGGTTAACCTGTCAAGCTCCCATTCTGCACTGTCACGGTTCGACTCCCGCTGGGGGTGTTAATAAGACCGATGCGAGGTCGAAAATGCAGTCTACCCTGGATGAGAACAACTTTTCTTAAGCGTCAGCTCTACTCATATCATTGTGGGAAAATTCTAATACCAGTCCTTCATGACCTTAAACAAAATAGAGTGAATACCTCTCATATTACTGATTTACTGGTAGTCTCGAAACTACTCAAATACGAAAATATAATCATTTTTGTCAAAGCGGCGTAACTGAGCGTCCGGAGTATTCTGCCACAATAGCCATGATCATTCCCTGACTTTATTTTTTAATCGCATATAGGAAGGTCAAGTTGATGCTGCCTTTTATTTGGTCACAGTCTCTTTGTTGGGAAGACTTTCATTTTTATGAAAG